ACAGCACCTGCCTCATCGAAGAGCCTGCCACCTATGCCACGCTGAGACACGCCCAACGAAATCCATGTAGGCAGGCAGCCTGGGCATTGGCGGTTGTGACATGGCAAAACTGAGGCATGGAGCAGCACTATGCCTCTCCCCAAATTAAACCCTCAGTGGGGGCCTCCGGCTTGGAGTTCTGGTTTTCTTCCTACCTGGAAAACTGGCCCAAATCACCTCAATCTAAAACTATAGCTATTAATTTCAGGTTAAGAAATGGTCATTAAAAAAAAAAAAAGTAAGTCTACCTATAAATCATCACAAATTTTAAGAGCCTCTCCTCTCCTCCCACAAAAAACACACTCACAAACCGGAGTAGTGATACATGTCTGTAATCCCAGCACTCTGGGAGGCTGAGGCAGAAGGATCACAAATTCAAGCCCAGCCTGTGCAACTCAGTGAGACACTATCTCAAAAGATGCTCAGTGCACCAGATCTGGGTTCAATTCTCAATACCACAAAAAATAAAATGAAAAGGACAAGAAAAAGAAAACGACAAACACCCATGCTCCTATTGTCTTATCTAAGGTTTTCTGCCACGTTTTGTGCTATCTTGTAGGGCGGCCACTTGCCCTGTGCTATTGAGAACACAAATATTGTTCCTACAACTGTTAGAACAGAACTGTGACTTTTCGGCTAATTTAAACTAAATACACATAGGTGGCTTAGTGTCTACCACATCCAAAAGGCAAAGCTATAAAAGCAAATCACTGCACTGTGGTGGCTGACATGCTGTGATATAGTGCTGAGATGCATCTCTACGATATACAGATGTCTATCAACAGACTCAACCCAGTCTCGTGTGTGTGTGTGTGTGTGTGTGTGTGTGTTGTGTTTGTGTCATTCACAGATCTTCCATCTCTAACTGGGAAAACCCATGTGAGATAGACAGGAAGGCAACATAACACCCAGATTAAGAGGTGGGCTTTGGGACTCGGGCAGTTTCCCATCCACCACACATCAGCACCTTACATGTCTTGGCACCACCAGCTTCACACACCCATAAGCCCAGGATGCAGTTACAGTCCTCGGCCCAGCGTACTAAGCCTCTCTAACCTCTTCAGAGCACAGCATTCAGAGACAATTACCATCTGCATAAGAATAACTATGAAAATCTGCAGGAGGAAAAGGCTGTACAGCTTCAAAAACTTCAGAGGCTTTCTCTTTTTTGGTTCTTGCACTACCCAGTGAGAACCACGAGACAAGTTCTCCTTTTTATTTTTACACACAAGGAGGCTCAGAAAAGTCACAGAAGCTCAAGGTCAAACAGCTGGTGGGCAAAACGGGCCCTTTCCACAGTTCAGGCCCACACCTGTCAGGGCTGGCCACAGAGCCAGGCGTAACCCTCCTCACCACCCGGCCATGCAGGTTCACGATGCCCCCATCCACATGACACTACGGAGGCTTCGTTAGCCAAAAGTGGGATTCAGAATGGTCTCGGGCTCCAGGGCCCTAAGGCATACAGAACTGCCTCCTCCCAACAGAGACCCTGAAACATCCAAACTTTCAGGGGCAGTGTGAAGCCCAAGGCTTGGGACATCCATGGATTAAAGCCAGAAATCTGATGCAGGAGCCATTGTGATTCCTGGAGGGCCCAGCACCTGAGGGGCTCGGTGGCACCTCACTGGTGAGCCGGCCACCTGTGGACACTGCCACCCGTGCCCCACGTCCCCTCCCCCAAGGCAGCTCACTGGGCCTGGCAACCTACTCTGGGCCCAGTGATACCCAGTACTGTCCGATAAATATGTGCCGTTCCCACATGAAGGGGGGAGTACCTTCTAAGATGCTCTGGTGTAGAATAAGTGGCCCTCCTGTCACGGATGGAAAAACGCCAGATTTTGAAACATTCGCTGCTAAGTAGGTCCACAACAGAGCAATTTTCCGCCCTAAACCTCCAGCTCTTTAATGGCACTGCCACAGCAAACCTCTCTCTGGCCAGGAAGGGAGCCACACGCGGCGTGGGGGCTGGGCCAGCTGGCAGCAGGACACCCCAACTCTCCCTTCAGGGTCCCACAGGTGTGTATGTTTGATGAAGGCCTAGAATCGCCGTAGGGGAGCATTTAAACAAGTGCCCAGTGTGACCAACCTACACTTTGACGCTTGCATCAATTACCTACCTGGGTGGCTTCCCACAAAAATCGGCAGCACATCTGAGGCACGAATACCCTTTAAGACACAAAGCGTCACCCTCACCTCTTAATTGTTTCATACTCAACATTCTCCTTTATCTTTTCCGAATTGTGTCCTTCCCAGCAATGACTCACTGTAAAGTTTTCCTAAGATTATCAGGACCCCCAAGCCATGGCCTGGGCCCTTGGTAGGGGGTCCGGCTCCCCTGCCCTCCCCTCCCCTCGCCTCTCACCTCTCGCCTCCAGGTTAAGCCAGGGACTCGCCAGGGACTCGCTCGGGTTGTCCGCGCGCCGCCAGGGACAACCCCAAGTCAGGTCCAAGCGCGCACGAACGGGACATCGAGCCGCAGGGGGTGGGGGTGGGCTTTCTTAGGTTTTGCCCCGCAGCACCTCCAACTCGAGGAGCCGCGCGTGCGACCCTAACTTCACGGAATTTCCAGTGCAGTTGGCTTCCAGCCGCGCCAGGAGCCAGCGCAGGCCCCGGGCCCGAGTGCGCACCGGCAGCGCGCGTGAAGCCCAGCCCCCAGCCCGGTGCGGCCGAGCCCCTGGCGACCCAAAGTGGTCACAGCCCCCCGGAACCACGAGTCCCCGCGGCGCAACGGGCCCAGCGTCAAGGAACTCGCCCTCGGGAAGCGGGCCGGGGGCGGAGATCTGGGGGCGCCCCTACCCCCAGCCAGCCGGGAGCAACAGGTCTGCGCCCTCTCCCCCAAGGCGCGCGGCACCGACCCCACCCGACCGGGGGCGCCTCCCCCTCCCGGGCCGCCCCAGCCGGGTCCCCGAGCTCCCGCGGAGTGGGGGGTGGGGTGGGGGTCCAGGCTTCCCTGAGTTTCCGCGCTCGCCTGGGAGCTCGGGGCCCCGCGCCCCGGGATGAATGGGCTCCCCTCCCCCACGGGGGTCCCGCCACCGCGTCCCCGGGCTCCGGGCGGCACAGGCTGCCCAGCCGGCCCCGGAGCGGCAGACAAAGGGGTGCCCGGGGAGGAGGCCAGCGCCTCCTCAAACTTGCCGGGCGCCCCCCGTCCCCCAAACAAAGGCGGCTCTCTCGGCCTCCGCGCACCCCCACGCGGCCACACTTTGGGGAACGGCCGCCCGGAGTGTTGTTGGGCTCCGGGGAGCGCGCGCACCTCCGCCCCGGGGCCCGGGGAGCCTCGGGCAGCGGCCCGGAGAGGTGGCCGCCGCCGCCCCTCTGCGCAAGAACTTTGC